AGCGATCCGCGCTTATCCACCGCAGCCACTCGTGAGTCCAAGAAACGGTCCACCCACCAACTACGTACCGGTCGTAGAATCTCCGGAAGAGCTAGACGACACGTATCCCCAGCTACCCATATCGTTGGAAGACGATATCAAAGTGAACTACCGCCACCCACGACCTACTATAAATCCAGACGCCGAATTCATCGACCCGATTCCAGTGCAAGAGAACCAGCCGGAGAAGCCAAAGGCCTATTTCGCGTACAGATTGCCAGGCGATGGGGGTCACTTTTACTTCCTAACGCCGCAGGCGATCACGCAGAGGCCGGAGCAGAACGCCGGTCACCTCTACTCAAAGTCGAGAGGAACGAGGCTACTAAGACGTCGACGGAGGCCAGACAACGTGTGATACGTGTACGCGACGAGGCAGCCGCACAATGCCATACCAATCATCGGGGACGCACGATGGAAATGCGTGTCATATGGAACGCGACGCGGAAATCAACGTCAGAACGTTGTGTACCGTTATTAGGATATTTATTCTATGTGTAAATATATATACGGATATATCTTGTATGCGTAATGTACAATTAAGTTAGATGGTTATCGACGCCTCAGTTACGCTATATAAAATGCTTAATTTATGTGACCTAACTTCTCCCCTTCTCCCCAACCCTGCTTTAGAATGATACAGATGCGATATTGTGTGTAACGCCGCTTGTGTGCGACGATAGGTATGCGCGAGTACTTTGAATGACCGTCATGTACTCGCGCGTTGTCTGTGATTAATGATCGATAGTAAACGCATACCGTGTACATATAGTTATGATTGACGATGTAGAGATTCAATTATAGAGCTCCGAGTGCATTTTTCATAAACCGTGTTACACGAAATATATTATATTCGAACATGCATGAAATAAACATTGCTTAGAAAGACAAAGTTTCCTTCCTTGTAAGCAAAATATTGATAAAAGCATGACATATTATTAGAAAAATCACATATATGGTGCTCACATTTGATTATCATATCGGTATTATTTTATGTTAATTCTTGTATGATACTCTACGAATTTTGTATTATTCGAGGAATTTATTGTAAATATATATGCGATGAATATAAGTGACGTTCTTAATAGATGGTATTATTATTGTAGGATTAAAATAGTAAAGTATCTTTTTTAAACAATACGTGACTTCCAATTTAATGACAAATGATTTTTAAGAAATCGATCGTTTAAAGTTGCATAAAAATAAATACATATTTAAATCTAAAAAATTCCAAACACAAATTCATGAGCCCTTCCTTAGAAGCCATGACAAAAATAAGTAAAACCACATGAGCACTATACCCTTAATCATTGTTCACGAATATGTAGTAAATATAAATAACTCGGCGATAGTTAGTAGCTGATTGATAAAAATAAACAATGCAAAGAATGTAGACTTACCGGTGTCGATTTCTTGCGTCTGTGTCGGATCGGGCAATGGTTCATCGTGTAGTCGTAAATAAACCTCCATTGCACATTTTGCTGCTTTAAAATAAAATGGATGAGCTCGTAGCACGTCTTCTAACCTTAGAAGACCCACGTAAGACCTCAAGGTCATCTTTCTCATACAGTAGGTATGAAAGTCGAATTGATCCTCTATGATTTCAGAAAAGTGCTATAATTGATAGAAATCGTTTGAGAGCGGCTAATAATAAATTATTACTTGCAAATATAGGATGTTAAAACCTACCCTGTCAACTTCGTGACATTTCTTTAATGCCTCCCCATACTTTCCAAGGCGTTTGTAAGCGTTAGCTGCTTCTGTCTGAATCCACATACACTGCATTTCATTTAGATTCTCCATGGCTAAAACCCCTTCCCTAGTAAACTTGCCACACGTTTCTTCCGCTTCTTTGATGAGATTTGCACGCAACATATACTTGGCACATTTAGAATTAATATATCGATCTGCTGTGTCTAATCCTTGCGCTTCGTCTAACCACTTATAAGCCTCTTGAACATTACCAGCATGCTAAGAATGTACACGCACAATTAATTACATTATTAAAGAAATATAAATATACATTACAAAAACCGAACACAGAATTTACCTTATAAATGCGGCCTTTGGTAACAAAAAGTTCTATAAGTGTAGGTGTGTGTTCTATGGCAGCATCAATTTCATTTAGCGCTTTTTCTGTAAGTCCAAGATGGTCGTAATGTTGTGCTAAATAATAATAAGTCCATAACAGTGCCGAAGCTGGCTCTCGCGCATTGTCTTTCTCTTGGTCGCTAAAATGCCCATGAGCTTTTAATGCTTCCTTGTATTCCAAAACCAAAGACTGTATAGTATCAACCTTCTGTTGATCGTTATATAGAGAACGAAGATTTACAAATAGGGGTGGTACACCTTTATGAAGGCCTATGGTGTAAATAAAATATCAATAAGTAACTTAGACTCTTTGTAAAAATATTTTCAATAAACAAATCGTACCTCTTCGTAAGTACCGATCTACTAATGTTTTAAATTCATCCCCTAATGCATAATTTAGTTGTAAGCGACGCGGCGCTAACGCTCGAGGAAACAATTCTTCGTATCTTTGGAGCATAGCTAATGTTTCTTCAGGTTTTGTGTGTCTTTCAGCCTCTGCTAGCCTAGCATAATAAGTTGTGTTTTCAGGATTTATATTTAAAAGTTCTTTATAAACCTGTGCTGCTTCTGCATATTGTTTTAATTGTAATCTTAATTTACCTACAAAAAACAGGAAATTAGTTTAAAAAAAATTATTGTAAAACACTTACAATTAGTTTTCATAATTTAGTTGTAGAAATTTATAACATACCATATGTTTCTTTTACAGTAACTTTATCACAAATTTGATCACTATACTTGTCAAGATGTTTCAATGCTTGTTCACATTCCCCTGATTCCTGGATAACCATATTTTGGTACAATAGCAACTCACTGTGTTCATAATCATAACAAATCTGCAAATATTAAAAATATCTCAATATTACATATTATAATATTATCAATATTAAAAAAAAATAAATTCGATATTGCATTATTTAATACAACATTTTTTCTTTTTACATAATATTAGAATACATACCATTGGGGAATTTCGAAATGTGTCCAAAATTTTAAGTGCTGTTTCATAGTCCTTTAATAAATGATATGATATAGCGAAACCAATCCATGAAGCACGCTGTGTAGGACGTAACATAAATAACTGGTACCTTGTGTCCTAAAAAAAAATATGGAAATAAATACTACTATTAAATAAAAATTACGTTGATAATGCCATTAATGAAAAAGAAACAAGAATAAAACAAATTACACATATACAATAAATAGAAATAAGGTCCTTCATATAAAGGATTTACCTTATAGCCCTCCAGATCCCTCATCTGAATTTGAAGCAGCGATAAGTCCCTAAGAATTTGAATGTTATCCTTGTCCCATTTAAGGGCATTTCTATAACACTTAATGGCTTCATCATATTTCTTATCCGAGCGTTGTAAAAGTCCATAAACGTGCCAACAAACATGAGATTGCAAATCATTCCTAAGACCTCTCCGGACATGATCGTATGCTTCTTCTTTGCGACCTAAGCAGTTCAGAGTGAGACCTTTCATTGCCAAGGTCTCTCCATGTTCACTAAATTTAGGGTTTGATAAAATTTGCTTTGCAAACTTTATCCCATTTTTATACTGTTTGTGTTCGTAACACCTCTGCAAGAAACATAAATACGTTTCATAGGATAAAACGTTTTCATGATTTCAATACTATGTACTTCAATAAACTGGCATTATAAAGTATCGTAAAAGATAAACAAAAAATCATGTTTTCATTCATAAGATCGGTAAAATTTTTATGACCCATGATTGCCAGTGAATTTTTCACAATTTTTCGAAGAGTGCTTCATCATTACAGCATGATGAATACTCTTATTAACCGGAGAGTGGGGTCCAAAACAGAGCGTTTTGATTACATATTACTCACCAGAATTCGTTTAAACAAGGCATTTTCTTTGGGTGGCAAGGGATTGCTGGAGGGCATTTTTGTATAAATACAAAAATATAGGGCCTTTTCCACCCGGTAAACTTAATTTTCACCACAAAACCTCGTGGCCACAAACGAAGAAGTCGATCTTCGATCACGTGATCATCTGCGACAATGCTGTTCCGCCGGAAGTTCTACATCCACGGTGCCGCACACTTTAATATATTATATAGTTTTTAGAAATTTATTAACAAGAATAATACGTTCTTTGTGTACGTTCGCGTTTATATTTCGTTATCTTTGATGCTTTCGATGATTTTACCTTTTTCGGAATTGCATGAAATACGAATTTCTAAGTAATGATAACCAATGATACTTAAGAAGCATTTCTATGAAATTACAAAGGTTATGAAGGATATGATATCGTTTGAATCGTACGCGAAGAAAAATTTAGCTTTCTAACGTATACATATAACAAGGTTGTTTTTTAAATACATCCTATATGAATTATGTAAATATATTATAAATATATTATAAAAACATTATTTATACTCCTTGGAATCTTCTATAACATTAAGTGCAATTTACAAGTTGTTTACTCCATGATTGGTCTACTTTTAGAAATTAACCTTATATTTTGTATAAGCACATGGTCTTCAAATCAGAAGGCTTTTAAATTGTTCGAACTAATGTAGTGTACGTTAGTTAGTGTACTGTACATAAAGAATCAAATGTATAATTTGTATTAAAATTTCTATATGGTTGTAAAAAAATATATATGGAGATAATAATTTTTGTAGATTTGATTTTGTAGATTTGGATTGTAGTTGCGCGTTTATTTCGTAATTATAATTTCGTAAGAGGTTATGAAAACAATATGGCCGAACTTTTAACAAAAGATGTTAATTCATAAAACATATGTCCTCGGCTTTATATCTTTTAGAATTAAGTGATTTATGTACAGTAATTTATGCTTACAAATGTTTGGTTAGCAAAATTTGTAGAAAGAGAATAACGACATGTCATTAATGTGTAGAAAGTTGTGTTTTTCTATTTTATTTGAGCACTTTGGTCCGATTGTGCAATCTGTAGCTGAAGATTTATTTAAACATGGTGCAAGACCAATAGGATTAATTCGTCATGCAACACATCTTCCTATAACAAAGGTATACATTAATTTATTTTAATTAATTTATTTCTCATTTATGACATATGTTTAATGTTGTTTTTAGATTAAAGAATCATTATGCGTTTTAATAAAACATGGTCTTGTTACGTACAATCAAGCAGAAAAGGGGATGGAATATTCTTTAATTGTAGAAAATGTTTTACTCATTCTTCGTTACCCAAGGTAATATGTAATTTATATAATACGGATTTTGTTGCTTTCAATTTACAAATAAATGAAAATAAGAAAGATTCATATAACTTAAATGTTTTAATTTTAATAGGTATATATTCTTTGTAAAATCAATGTGTGGAAACGAGTGCGAGATGATTCTCGAAGAAGTATTAATGAATGGATATATAACAGCTTCAGAAGCAATCGCAAAGACATATAAAAAGATTGAACAATCACCTTGTATGTAAATTTATAGTTTTAAATTTTAACTTAAAAAATAATTGTATATATTATATTACAATAATTTTGATAAAAAATGTTGTTCTATTAACTATGTACTTGTATTTTTAGCTGATCTGCAACCATCAGTTCCAGTTTTAAAAGAGAAATTTGAATTACTTGTCAAAAACCAGTTTTTAATGCGCAGTTTAGGTACAATTGAAGAGAGAAATGAAAAATGTAATTTTACATTACCAGATTTGAATTTGGCTGCTATTACTAAAAGAATAGAAGGAAATGATATTGATTGTGGAGATAGTAAAATTTATTGGAAAGTTAATTTTGATCGTTTTACTCAGGACTTTAGGTAAGAGCTGCAAAACTATTGTGTACATAAAACACATGAGAAATTTGCAATGTAATCTATAGGGATCAAATTATTATATCAGCTATAAGCAGACGACTTGACGAAAATGCAGGAGTGTTGATGAGACAGTTATTGATTCTTATGTATTTACGGACAGCATCATGGGAAGACACATCCAATCCAATACCTCTTACAGAAATAAAAGAAGCAGTTAGAAAAGTCGATTGTCCATTACTTATACAATATCTTGATCAATATTTACGTCTAATTGGTACAAACATTGTAAAAAGTGTACTTTTAAACTGCCTAAATATTTCGAAGAACATTGCATAATACTTAGCTAAATGTATTGTTTCAGAGGAAGATTCTAGTCAATTTTTAAAACGAGTTGGGGATTCGGGAGGTGGTCAATATAGCGTTAATATGAAAGAGGCGTTTAAACAATTAACATGGACCACATTAGAAAATATTGTAATGGAGCGATTTGGTTCAAAAGCAGCCAGAATTTTTAGGTACTTCAGGATTTTAACATTATACTTTAGGTAGGAATTTTGGGATTTTAACATTGATTAACTTAAGTATCTTCATTTTACTATACAGATTAGTGCGTAATAGAAAGTACATTGAACAGGAGCAAATTCAACAACTGGCGATGATTCCGGCAAAAGAAGCGAAGCATTTGACGTATACTCTCTTGCAAGAGAATTATTTACAAATACAGGAAATAAAGAAATCTGGAGTATCAGCTGCACCAATAAAAACATTTTTCCTATTTCATATTGATTTAAATTTGGTTGTTCATATGGAAGTGGAGCACTGTTATCATGCACTGTACAATATTATGCAAAGACGAGAGTATGAAGCAAGCAGCAATAAGCGGATGATCGATAAACAATTGCGAATGCAAACCCTTACGACTAATTTGAAAGAACACGGTGCTAGCGAAGAGCAATTAGCAGAGGTGCATATAATTTTCAGTATTATATTCTTTGTAATTGTTCAGTAACAGATTAACTCCATTCAAATTGTTCACAGATTGCAGAAATGATGACACCGTCTGAGAAACAACAATTAGAAAAAGTTCAAAATAGGATTAAGAAATTGGGTATTACCGAATTGCAAATTGACGATACTTTGTTCCTATTGACAATGTATTTACGTTACCATTAAATAAAGACATGTTTTTTAAATATGTGAAACTGTGATAAATATTAACGATGCTACTCATTTTCACTATTCATGAAGGAACAAGTACATAAAATTTCATTCATTTATATAGTTATTTATTTATGTATAATAATGGTTACGCTTGTAAAATACAAACAACAAAGAATACCTAACTTTCAAATTATTGTAATAAATATAATCATATATCTATGTTTATAATAGTGCTGCTCTCTATGTGATACAGTGCATTTGATGTCACTATCTGTTAGGGAAAATGATCTTGGAGTACACACCGTTAAATGTTCTACCATTGACAAACACTTCGTGTAATTATACCTTTTCATCTATGCGATATGAATGTATGTTAGTTGATTAGAAACAAATTATTAGAGTTATGAATCACAGCCAGCTCAAGGTGCCTTATGGATCAGTAAATAAGTCGAACGCTGCAAATGCTATTTATAATTAGCTAAAACGTAATTCCATTACGGTATGTATGTAAAGACTGGAGACCATTATGTTTGGTGTGTCATTACTACCGTACGTTTTACTTCCAAGTATGATTTTCCCTTAATTCCTATTATATACTTTATACGTTCATCTCAACACTACCGCGATGAAAACGGACTCTTCCGTTGTAAATATTTATTAATCATAAAAATTCAAAGTAGATAGTGTTAACAGTGAAGATTCACCGATCTTAAATATATATATATTTTGATTGTACGCTATTGACACCAATTAATAACGTGTACTACATCTGTCGCGAGTAGTGATAAGATGATCGTGAACGTGTAATCGCATTCAAACATGCATCTGACTGATTTTATACTCTTTCCTTTTTCCCTTTTCATGACACATATACACACACGCATACATACACACACCCTCTCTCTCCCCCTCTCTCTCTCTCTCTCTATTTCTTTCTCTCTCTCCTCTCATGTTCTTCTCTCATTTAGACGGTATTGCATAGACTATGTACATTGCACGTACATACAAGTTTCTTCTAGAAATAACGTTGTATACCTAAAACTAAGGTTGAATTTCGGTAAAGCGTTATTTTATTATATTTTTTTCATACCATTAACAACAACGTACATGTAAATGAAGTGAATTCTTGGAATATTGAGATTGGATGTTAGTGTTCACTTTTTTTTCTTCGTTACGTTAGATATACTATAGTATTAGTAATGTATTCGTTTTACAATTTACTATTCTTACAGTTTGCATTCGCACTGGTTGCATTTCTTTTCTTTTTTTTTTTTTCTTTTGAAATCCGATGAATTTACAGCGAGTGCATTGAGATTATCGTGAAAACGTTCGTTTCTAGGTATACAAACGAAAAGAAAGAAAAATAAAAGGAGGAAAAAATTGTGTACTTAGCATGTGTCGTTCCTGACAAACTGATCTGTCCATGAAATGCAGAATTGAACTTTATAAAGAAAACAACGTGCTGGCGATAATCAAATTCGATGAAAATTTCTTAACAGCTTAATTGTACGTACGCTATCCGAAAATGCGTTTTTGAATGTAAAAGGGCGGAAGAAATCGCGGAAGAAGGTAGAAAAATGAAAAGAGCGAATTATTTTGAAAGATTACGAATATATGGCACAATAGGAAATAACATGCAATGGGTGCGTTTATATCCTCCACATATCAATTGATTTATTGAATGATTGGTTATCTGTAGAATGAATAGGGTTAAATTATTGTTATTTGGAGGTCAAATTGGTGAAGAAGAAGGAAATGGAAAAATAAGAAAGGAGGAAACGCAATTGCTCGGAGGAAACGTAGAAATGTCTAACGAAAGTGCACCTTTCGGTTTTCCAGGACGTGATAAGAGAAAGAAAAAAAAAAAACGTTTCAGTGTAAATGTAAAAAAAAACATCTAATTGTTGCGTGAGCGATACGACATTGAAAATTTTTGAGTATTCGAGCACGCAAATGATCGACGAGCTTCATGTCGCCCGTTGTCGTCGTCGTTGTCATCTGAACTGGCACGTACAACTTCTATTGCTATGCGTAATAAGGATAATTATTTAAAAAAAAAAGAGAGAGAAATAATATAATAATATTAATAATAATCATAATAATAGTCAATAATAATAATAGTACTAAATAAAACTGATGTGACAATAATAATATTAAGGATAATAATAGAGATAATAATGACCAAATGAAAATAAGAATATGCATCGCATTTTTAACATTTCGTTAAGTCTACGTGTTCTCGAGTAAATTACATATATGTGGCGCTATGCAAGATACATCACAATATAGTTACACTGTACATTCAATAGTATTGACACTTTTTTTGCGTCGGTCGATTTCTCCCTCTCTCTCTCTCTCTCTTTTTCATCCTCTCAATACCGTTCACACTCTCGTGCTTTCTTTCTCGATCGACGAACACACCGCCGACGCAGTTGTACAAATTCATGTATATACATAAAATAAATTATTATCAACATTAAGCTATCCTATCTGCCGCCGGCCGCGGTATTCGAAAGCACCCGACGAAACGCGGGCACAGATATATCGAGGATACTGGCTCTCTTTATAAAATTATATTAGGTACCTTGTATAGAATTGCACTGATTATAAATAACAAAAAAAAAAAGAGAAAAGAAAAAACGGTGAAAAAAGAGATGTAGAAGTTATCGAGTTTTTCACGTCGAGCCAACTCTGCCGACCCGGGAACCGGAAGGGACGTCATATCGTCACAAACCTCCGGTCCGCGAAAACGCTATTTGGCACATAAGTATTATCACATCGAGCTCCCGATTTTTCCAGTTTCGGTACAATTCGTTTTCCCGAATTACATACGAGACTTTACGCCCTATAGTTCTATATTGTTTTTTCTCGTTACGAGACGGTGCTCGTTTTTTCCTCCTTTCCTTCCTTTTTTTTTTTTCTATGACATCCACTAACATCACGGTAAACAACGGTCTCTAGATTCTCTCGATCGGCTCCCATCAGGTTGATCGTGCTTTCACGAATTCGCACAACTCGAAGGAAATGAAAAACGGAGAAAAAATGTAACAACGTGTGTCCGGAAAACATCGAAAAACAAAACGCACAACGTCGTATTAGAATTTGATTATTCGTTCGTTTACATCGTTTACAATAAATAACGCTAATTTCCCCGTCCGTAATTTTACGCAATAACATTGTACTAAAATTGACGCCGCGCGTGTCCCTCTCTCACTTTCTCTCTATTCATTCTTCCTATACATACACACTTCCTTTCCTTCTAATAATACACTTCGATTACTTCTCCTTAGATTTTGGTTTTTTTTTATTTAGAAAAAAAAAATTCTCTTCATCTTGCCTCCGCTTAACGCTATCTCCGCTTAACGTTAGGTCCATAAATTAATCGCGAAAAATACTATAAGTACTATAAGTGTGTTTTTAGACGCGAAACGAAGTGGCCACACACCCCTGTGACTCGAGCGGGTTCATATCGCGTGACGGAATGTGGAATTCCACATTTTCTTCTCGTCCTCTGTCCCGGTCCTCGTGCGATACACCGGATATCAGTGATTGCATGTGAATATGAAAAAAAGGACCGTCCGCCGTGAACGTGGGATAACTATACGATCTAATAACGCGTGTTGCCGCGTATACTCGGAAAACGCGTGATGCTGCAGGATACTAACGGACCACAGCTTTTTCTTTTTTCTCTTTCTTTTTTACTTCTCTTTTTTACGTTCAATTTCTTACATTTTTATCTTTTGTTCATTTTTATTTCTGTCGTTTCTATTTATCTTCGTTTCTCACGTATTGACACGGCCGACCGGAATGGCGTATCGCTATAGACGCGCACGCACACGCACACGCGCACACACACGCAGACAGACAGACAGACAGACACACACACACGCACACACACACACACTAGAAGGAATAGGAACAAGACTTTTTTGGCCGCTCATCGTATTTTCGTACACACACTCACGCACGTACACACAGAAATACGTGTCGCGATCGTCTCGCGGTGTGTTGAAACGCGGCTCATACGAAACACGATAGAAACGAATTCGATCGAGCATCGGCGGGAGAGTGCATCGGATCGATCCTTCTGGCGCGCGCGCACACATGTGACACATGGCAGTCTTACGAAAAATCAGGTATGTGTGTATATATATATATATAAAATGTGTGTGTATATATATATCGTTTTATATTTGTATTTATTTACCTCATTTATTTTTTATGTATAATTCTAGCGTTCATGTTACTCTGCGCTCCCGCGTACGGAAAACACCCGCGAGATGGATACCGACATACGTTGACACGCGAATCGACGTTCGTTACCTGATCGAGAATTCTACTCACGCGCATATCTCGTTACCTAGAACGTTACCTAACGACGATTAGACCTTATCGTTCGCAGATTTGCGCCGCCTTGGTCGCGGTTTTGATTACACCAACGGAATATACCATTGGTAAACTCTCGTGCCGCCGTCGTGTTCATTGTCCCGTCGGCATGGATCAACCGTCGCGCCTGCTTTCCCCACCCCATTCCTCTTAGTAATAGCATAAGCAAGCAGGAAACCATCAGAGCTCCGCACGATGCCGTTATCCACGTCGAGCTCACGTTCACCGGTGTCCCGTGAATCGTTCGACGTACATGTATACGTAGCGCATAGCGAGAAAGGGTTGGTTGGCCGATATCGGTCACGTGACTCTACATCATGACACTCTGTCCCAAAGATTCGAGTCGTGATGCGTATGTCCGAGTTACGCACGATCTTTCAGCCATGTGTGCACGAGCAACGTATCTCATAACGAATCGCGCGACATATTGGGCGATACGATGACGCGACGACGGCGGATCCAAGGAAGCAGGACACATCGCCGCTCGAATCCGCGGGAGGGCCTCCACGCGTCGTACGATGGCACAGAATCGTTATATATCACAACCTCTCGAGCGAGGCTTCGAAACGCTCAGTCACTCTTCGAGAACGTTTTTCTATCCCCCGACAATCGACTACATATATCGTTCCCACGTTCCTGTTCACGCGACGATACACGCGTTCATGCGTATATATTCCTTTCACGCGAACCACCAGAAGTTTTACCAGAACAACTCGTGGCCGAGTCTCGACGTTGACGCTGCTGCTGCTGCTGCTGCTGCTGCTGAAGATGATGCTCCG